GCTTCAACAGTGGAATGTCTTTCGTTGAAAACGAAATAATAGCGCTCTTTGCACACAAAGTGAAGCTTGATAAAGAACTAAATTTTTCTTAAAGTTTAAGAAAAAACAAAGGTTTAGAAAAGCATTAAATAAATGGATTGAATGTTAATCTAAGGCTTAGGCTCAGGCTTAGGCTTAGGCTTAGGCATAGGCTTAGGCTTAGGCTTAGGCTCAGGTTTAGGCTTAGGCTTAGGCATAGGCTTAGGCTTAGGCTTAGGCTTAGGCTTAGGCTCAGGTTTAGGCTTGGACTTAGTGCGAAGGCTCAGGCGCAAAAATATGAAAAATGAAGCGCAAAAATATGTGCAATCACGGATACTTTCGAAGAGCAAAGAATAGCGATAAGTTAAGATCTAAAAAAGTTTTTTAAAAAAGATAATAAGATTTCAATTCTGTGAAAAATTGGCTTTCTTTTGAGCATAAACACTTATAAAAGAATGTAAATCAGAGATTCAATTAGAGGATTTAAAAAGAGAAGAACTTTCGCCATATCCTGTATAATCTAAGGCCTAGACTATCGTTGCATCGTTGTCAAAATGATCTAGCTGTTATTGGAATGTCTGTTTTTAAATAAAAACTCATACGAAGACGCCGATAAAAGAAATCGTATAAGCAGAAACAAACGGAAGCCAATCTGGCAGAATGCGCCAGTAGAAAATTGTCGCCTCAAACACGACACTAGAGAGCTGAAAGCCTTTCATTAATTTCAGAAGAATCAATTTTATAATAAAACATAGCACTATCGCAGCAAGTAAAGCAGCATGGTACTTCAAGTAGTACTAGTTAGGGATACTGTAGTGAGTACATACAGCGCTTACAGTAATACTCATAGCCAAGCTCACCGTTGAAGTCAACAGCCAAAGACTGAGTCGATTATTCGAATACTTTTGCTCATATGTTTCCAAATTTTTCATTGCTATATATCTCTCAATCGCGTATACAATTGTCATATGCAGTGAGACACCGACAACTAAAATTTCAATACTTTACTGATTACTGATTTATTGAAATCTTCACTGAAATCTCTAGAGATCTTAGTCAAAACGTACTTGACTCAGTAACAAAAGAAATCATTTGAAACATAACTCCATCAAGGAGATCAAATGTTTGTAGAATGTGACGAATGAGTCGAATTAGAGTCGATAAAGAGAGAACAAATGGTTGAGAGAGGAGAAGAGTGGTGAGGTTTGGATGGAAAACCTGAAAGGAATTGATCAAATGTAGATTTATCATTTGTCTCCAACGGTTAAAGCAACAATCAATTGTCTAAAATTAAGCACTAGACTTGGCTTAAGACTTGGTCCTCTCCGGAAATCTTTTCTTGTCAATTCCTTCACTTCTTTAGTACTAATACACGTGGTTTTGATTTTCAAGTAAGCCCAGTTCTAAAGACCCAAATATTTCCTTCTTTCTTTCTTCTTTTCTTTCTTCTTTTCCCCTTGTCTTTCCCGCTTTCTCTTGGCAAGCTAAGATATCAAATATCTCAGTGGTTAGAGCAATGGCCTGGAAAGCAAAAGATCGAGTGTTCAATTCCCTCTCCAGAAATCTACCTTTTCTTGCCAATTCCTTCACTTCTTTATTAGCCATGCAAAATAGCCAGCCATACTACTAAAGTCTCACTACCGGTACTAGTGTCAGTACCAATATGCCACGTCTACCGAGTGCGTCATTATTCATAACATCTTTCTAGTTTTTTATTTCTTATTTTTCTTGTATTAATATGGGATTTTTGTTGTTTTGTCGACATTGAACATTCCAACAGGATGGGGCTTTTGCCCATAAGGTTTGTTTTGTCAAAGACTGGTGCCGACAGAACTTCCCAGACTTCATCGCGTTTGATCAATGGCCATCCAGCTCGCCGGATCACAATCAAATGGATTTTTCTGTTTAGACAGTCCTTGAGACAAAATCTTGTTCATAAAAGCATCGATTCTTTGAAGAAAGAGTAGGTAATGTCTGCCCAATCCCGCAGTAGGATTGGGCAGACATTACCTACTTGCGTGCCAAAGTAGACGCATTCCAGAAAGGCTATTAGGCATTTGATAAGCCCCGCCTTTTTGCCATTGGCAATCTAACTTTGAGCTCAAATATCTTGGTGTTGGGATGTTCAATTTTAATATTTTTGATATCATTCGAAGAGCCAAGTCTTTCTCTGTCGATTGGTGCAAAATCTATTTAAATTGAACAGCTCAACACCAAGATATTTGAGCTCAAAGTTAGATTACAAGGTTTTTGAATAAAAAACCAGTGTTCGATTTAGTTCTAACGTATCTCCTGAAAAATACAAAGCCATAAAATTGGTTGACTAGTTTAGTCAAACACTTTGCCCTTTATTTACCCGTTTTGAAAACAAGAGATAGCAATACGGGACCAACGTGAGCTCCAATAACAAAAACAAGAAGCATTCAACGATCTAAATATTTAAAAAATAGCTATTACCGTATTTTCTCTAATAGTAGTGCACCCTGAGCCTTGCCTAAATCGCTCGAAATCTCGAAAACCGCTTATCACAACCTATCGATGTGGGATCGGAAAATGTAGCTGACGATGAGATCTAGTGGGGGGATTAGAGTGTTGAGCTTCTGGGAAAGCTTGGAAACCGTAAAATAGTCACCAACTCGGCTCGTCGGGGTGCACTACTATTAGAGAAAATACGGTAATCATTTGAACAATTTACCTGGAATACAGGAAAATATTCTTCAAGAAAAGCTGGATGCACGAGAGCTCCGTGTTGACTCATGAAAAGTTTAAATTCAAATTTAAGAATAAATTTTACAGTAAAGTTTTGAAATCAATCTTTACAAATGGTGTTCTTTTTGGAACCGAAATTTCAATACATTGTTTTTGCAGACTTTTTCATCTTGACTACAGATTGGCTCGTTTTACTTTGAATCCGCTGGGATTTGATGAGAAATTAGTACTTTTTGAAGGGAAATCTTTGTCTACAGAGTGTTCAATAATTAATCAAAACTTAGAGCTCAAGAATCATCAGAGAACTCTTCCTCTTCGACACACCTCTTCGGCAGCACTGTCCTCCCGGCACTCCGCTACGGGACAGAGACCTGGGCCACGACACAGACCGCTGAACGACCCCTGAGAACGACGCATCGAGCCCTTGAAAGGAACCTCCTCGGGTACAATAGGAAGACGCAGCTCGACCAAGACCTAAGAAGTACGGATATGCGCCAGCTCTCGGAACTCAGAGATCCAGTGGAAGTGATTGAGAGAGAAAGACTCAGATGGACCGGCCACGTAGCCAGAAGAACAGACGACAGATGGACGATACGGATCACAGAGTGGCTACCACGAGACCTGAAGAGGCCCATCGGAAGACCAGCAACGAGGTGGAGCACAAGAGTGGCAGAGACGGTCAGAGAAAGGATGGCTAGAGTGCAACCACCATCAGCACCAGCAAGTCGAAGACTTCGAACCAGGAACAATCAAGCTAGGAAACACTGGATGACAATAGCAAGGGATAGAGAAATGTGGAAGCAGGTTGTGATCTGCGCAAATAGATCAAAAAAAAGGCAGGAAAAGTTTTTTTCATCAAACCTAAGAATCCCCTGTAGAAAAATATTTAAATTTTCTATTAAAACAAAGCGTGAGATGATTGCAGATTTGAGCGTTGAGTTACACTTAAAATCCCGAGCCCGGGTAATTATTGAGTATTCTGTAGATTGAAGTGTGCATCGTAGACATGCGATCCGATCAATCCGACCGGATCTCACTTTTGCCTTTTGGCAAAGTTGGCAAAATACGTCCAGCTTTCCTTAAACCAATTCTAAAACTTTTAGTATCATTTAGAAAAAAATTAGCTATCGCTAATAGTAGTGCACTTTGAGTTTCGTCTAAATTACTCGCAATCTCAAAAGCCGCTTATCAAAACCTATCGATGTGGGGTCGGAAAATGTAGCTGAGGATGAGATCTTGTGGGGGATTGGTGTGTTGAGCTTCTGGGGAAACTTGGAAACCGTAAAATAGTGATTAACTCGGCTGCACTGGTGCACTACTAGGAAATAATCAGGGAAAAGCATCTAATCTACAACCTAAAGTTGCTCAAAGAATCAGTATCTAAAACTATAAGATGCACCAGATTTCGACCCATATTTCATAGTTTCAGTATAAGTTAGTTTCGTAGTTAGTTAGTACCGTATTCTCTCTAATATTCGCCGCCTTAACCCTCTAAGAGTCGTCGCCTTAATTCCTCGAAATCTCGAGAACCGCTTATCAGAACCTATCGATGTGGGGTCGGAAAATGTAGCTGACGATGAGATCTAGTGGGGGATTAGAGTGTTGAGCTTCTGCAAAAGCTTGAAAACCGTAAAATAGTCACCAACTCGGCTCGGCTGAGAGATTAGAGAGACTACGGTATATCCAAATTTGGCCAACTTTGTTTTTTGTTAATTTATTTTGCAGAAAACATGTTGCCAAGTCCAAATCACTACATGTAAACTCTTCAAAGTGTTTGATTCAATAAATGTTTAGTGGTAAGTAGTTACAATCCTTTGAGTACAAGTTCAGCTGCAGAAGGATCCTCTTGAAGAGGTACTAAAAGCTTTTGTCAAATATTTCCTTGGGTTTGAGCCTCATCATTGCCATTGATAATGCAAAGCCTTAAGCCTAAGAAGGCTTTGAAAAACTTAAAGCTAAAAACATAAAGCTCTATAACTTTGTACATTTTTCTGTTTCTTTTTCTTGGAAGTCTTTCCCGAGGGAATGGGTTTGTAGTTTGTAGCCAAAATCGGCTCTATTTCTCTCTTTCGCTCTCTATTTCATAGCATAAGCAAAAAATTGCAAACGTAATTGTTTACAACAATTCATTTTCGTTTCTCTATAACTTTTCATCAAGTTTATTCAGTATCTTTACAAGTTTATATTTATTTTGAAAAATTTTAGTAAAAATGCCTGAACGATCGCGTAGTCCGAAGTTAGAATCTTGTAAAAAAAACAAATCGGAAACGCAAATGGTTCGAAATGGAAAGCAATATAATAAAGTAAGAATTTGAGCTTATTTTTACCAAAATATTAACAATTAAATACAAATATAGGTTTAATACTTATTATAGCTGTATCAATAGGTAGGATAAGATCGTAGAACAAGTAATTGTTATGCTATTTTTCTTTAACATACTGAAATCATTACTTTTATGCTATAATGTGACAAAAAGTAATGAATTTCATAAATAAGGCACAAATTATAAAGATTACTAGTCAACAAATAAACAATACGAATCATTTATTTTCAGATCAATCGAATCCCGTTGATCAGCTCAGCCACAGTCATCATTTCACATATCGAAAGCCCCAGCTCGTTCTTTGTTCAACCAAAGAATCACATCACTGATGATCTAATCTTAAGAGAACCATCTGAGTGAGTTTTTTTAAATACCGTATTTTCTCTAATAGTAGTGCACCTCGGCGAGCCGAGTTGGTGACGATTTTACGGTTTCCAAGCTTTTGCAGAAGCTCAACACTCTAATCCTCCACAAGATCTCATCCTCAGCTACATTTTCCGACCCCACATCGATAGGTTCTGACAAGTGGTTCTCGAGATTTCGAGGAGTTTAGGCGACGCTCAAAGTGCACTACTATTAGAGAGAATGCGGTAGATGGCGAAGATATTTCATGGACAAGGAAAGGTTGAGCCGGTCAAATGCTATGCAACCTATACTATTCGACGCAGAACTTTATGTTCATTCCAAATATACCGTATTTTCTCTAATAGTAGTGCACCCCGGCGAGCCGAGTTGATGACTATTTTACGGTTTCCAAGCTTTTGCAGAAGCCCAACACTCTAATCCCCTACTAGATCCCATCGGCAGGTACATTTTTCGATTCCACATCGATAGGTCTTGATAAGCTGTTCTCGAGATTTCGGGGAATTAAGGCGACGCTCAAGGTGCACTACTATTAGAGAAAATATGGTATACATTTATTCACAGAAATAATTTAGTACAAACAATACATAAGCACAACCCCCAAATTCTAAATATAGGAAAAAACTCATAAATGGGAAAAAAGAACCAATAATCTAGCCGAGGAATTGAACCCTGAACCTTTGAACCTCTTGACTAAGATACAAGGTTCTTAGCCAGTCGGCTATGGCAGTAGATTTGGCTGTTTGTTAAAGTTGACTCTAAAATGGGGACCACTAATGATCTAATTTTAAAAGAGCCATCTGAGTGAGTTTAATTTAAGATTTGAAAATCAAAAGTTTCCAGACTGCCACTAATGCCGTTGAGCTCTGAAATGACAAATGATAGTTTATTGGGTTACTATTGCATGGCTCCACTTGAAGATTTGCTTGTAGATGATGAGATTGTCAGGCAATACGGAAGAGCAAGGATCATTGATGTAAGTTGGACAGAAGTCACTAACCAAGGATTGGAGAGCTGAAAAGCCAGCTTGTTTGGTTCTCAATTTTCTTGGTTTAATCGATCAAGTCCTGCAGTTTAAAAGACAAACTGAGAAAAAATCTAAAGATTGGTTTCTCCTGAAAAGTGGTTTTAGGCTCAGGCCAGCTCTGGCCAATCTCAAAATGCCAAAGCCAAAGACAAAACAGGCAAAAAAGGTCCTGTTGGATAAGTTCCTGGGTTTTAAGCAGTCAATTTTTGACCAGACAATGACTATTTCCTAAATTTGCCACAAAAGACACCAAAAAGAGTAAAAAGGAAACTCCAAAAAAGGACGGAAAAAGTAAAAAAGGTTACTTAAATTTCAAAATTTCAGGTTAATTTCTCATTGGTTGAAGTTCGATATATTGATGAAGGGAAAACAGAATGGGTCGATCCAATTTGTTTAGCTGAAATGCCGGTGAGCTAATATTAAATGTTACAAGCTAACCTTTTAAAAATTTAGGAAAATTTCTACTATCATCCATGGCAAACAATTCATTGCTGTCTGGGAGGTATTAGCCCAACTGGTTTCCTTCTCGAGTCTAATCCAGAACAGGTTTGTTGTAAAAAATCGAATTTCGTTCTTAGCAATCAAATGAGTAATTTAGGAGTCTCGTGGATGGACTGAAACCGATGCCGATCATTTTCGACAAGTGGTCAACCGTTTTCCCCTATTCAAGGTATCAAAATGAAGGGCTGTGCGTAAATTTAGACCTAAACTAATCAAAATAAAAATAATGTTAAACCTTTACATCTAAACTAAACATCTAATCTATCTAAAGCTGGTTTCAGACACTTACTTTCATTATAACAGGTTTATAGACCTTTTTATAATTATAACGAGATTATAACAGGATTATAGATTATAGATCAATAGTAAGTGTCTGCCCAACTTTAGGTTTAGAGCTTTAGATAGAACCTGCTTTAGATACATGTTTAGATGTAAAGGTTTACCAAAAAGAACTGGCCAGGTCAAAGCCAGCTCCAGGCCATGGTTTTGGCCTTCCTTGGCCAGATTCTCCAAATTTTCTAGGCCAGCCAAGGTCCGACCTGAATCTATAGCATTTATTTTGGCCTTGTTTGACTAGCCAAGACTTTTATCTTCTTGAAACAACTCTCAATAATTAGGGCAACACATTTGCAGACTTAGGTATTAGGTATTAGGTAAATGGCCAGGTACTAGGCCAAAACTTCGCACCAAACTGTAAATTAAACGGATAAAGGCTCAAAATTTGAGGTGGTATCAATCCAAGGCACGAACATATCCAATGACAACTCGCGAGTTAACATCGTTGAACTGTACGGCTTGGAGAATTCGTTCTCCGTTTCGCAGAGAATTTTGGAGACGGACATAGTGACATTTTTTCGAACGGTAAACTTATTAAAAACAAATTTCTTATACAAAATTTTGCAGCAAGTTCGACCATTATCTTGGTCCGATTCTGATGTTGAACAAGTTCGAGAAAAATTCGGGAATTTATTTAAAGTAAGATTTTTCTGAATACAAACCCAATTCTTTTAGAAACATTCAGTTGAAAATCCAAAAATTGACGTTTCTGACCTTCTTGTATTGGAAAGATTGTACACTGCGCCAATAAAAATTTTGGAAATTGACGTGGCCGGGCTTTTTTCTGCAGAGTTCTTTCAAACAGTTCAGTTTTTTCTAAACAATTTTTAATATAAAAAATACATATTTAGGTAATCTACAGTCCTCTCTACAATGCGTCAATGTTTCCGATTCCGGCTGGACCAATAAACCATCAAGTAATCAGAGAAAAAGAATTGCTAAAGCCAAGTAAAGAGTCAACTCTTGGTTCTAGGCATGGATTGAATTATAAAGAAATTGCCTCTCATCCGTTTTACTTCTTGCAATTAGTTAATCAGTTTATTAGTAAAATAACGAATCTATTAGGTTGTTCGGATATAAACGAGCGTTTGCACTGCTCAATTCGTGAGGAAGCCATTTCCCGGATCAGATCGTCTTTCCAATGGCGTGGAGATGCTCATCAGTAGTAGAATTTCAACATAGAAACTTTTGAGCAAGTTCACGCGTTGTTTGACATGGATCTGATTCGATTGCATTTGATGACATGGATCTGATCTCAAAATATCGTTCTCTACCGCTTGAGGTCGTCGATGTTCATCATCCTCGAGACTTTTATCACCATTCCGAAAGCATTGGAACCAGGCTCGGCATCGGCTTTTGGACAAAACATCATTCCCAAATGCTTTGACCAAATCTCGATGAGATTCCGCGACTATTTTGCCCAGTTGGAAGTCGTAAAGTAGGCTTATTGATAAGTAAAGTAGACGCGAACTTGATATATTTGAAGTTGGTCATCTAAAGCATGAAAAAAGATCTTGAAAATAAGAAATTCTCGGTTTAAAAAGATTCCAAATATACACAAGATAACGTACTTTTAAATACAGAAGGACATATTTTAAAAGCTCCTCTCACAACTTCTCTCACATAAGTTTAGCAACCCTTGTTTAGATCCGAACAACCTAATATATTTAAGATTAAGCAATCAGAAGCGTAAATCTACTATCTACTGGTTAAATCTTACAATTAGTTTTTGCATGGAAGAACTTGTGTTTCTTGTTTTCAATTTGTACAAAACTGCAGCCAACCACCGTCATCGATCCCCGCTTTGAGGACTTTCCATTGAGATGGACTAGTGATGAAAGAAAAGCTCCAAATCGAAAAACGATACCGAAATCATCAATGGACACTGATGGGTAGTTTGGCCACAAAATGAAATTTACTCAAAAAGTTTAGTTTCGGAGTAATCTACTCAAGTTCTGATTTCCAAGTGCCAAATATGGATTGCAAGTATTTCAGGGAGAATGGGTAAAGCTTTGTGATCTTGATATTGATATTAAGCAGAATGAATCAATTTCAGATACTATTCTGACTCTGGCGTTGTCACTTTTCACATATTGAGCGCTCGGCTGAACACGCCGTACGAATTCTACGGAATTCCATTGCGAAATCACAATCCGGGTTGGTTGAAAAATGTCAGCTAAGAAGGTAGCAGTTCATTCAACACTTATCCACAGGATTTTGTTCTGGAATGTTCCAATGGTGGTCACGTAAGCTAGTTTGAGCCGGAGAGCCTAGTTAGAACCGTACCTGGATCTAGATCAATCAGATCAATGACTTGTATAGACTAGGTTTGGCTAGGCAAGCCTAGAAAGGCAAGCCTAAGCCTAGAAACTTCAACTGACTCGGAGCCTTATAAACTGCTCTGACTTTGCCATTATAATACCACCAATTTCTTAAGTTGCTTCAGTTTCTTTCAGAAAACAAGGAAGTCTTACCAACGCGAGAAGCTTTCCGGCAAATGATCACCGAGCGAAAAGAATTGGCCGCAGAATTGGAAGCATTCTATTCCCTATCCAAGAATCGTTATCAATTCAAAATCAAAGACATGTAAGTTGTATTCAAACAAGTTTTCACTGAAACTTTTTCAGCTTATCTGGTTTCAATGGTGGGATTCGATTCTATGGTATCTACATTTGCTCACAGTTGGATCGCCGGAGTCAATTCGGACGTTATCAAAGAGTTGAGGTTCTTATTTGATTCCGATTTGTTTCCTTATAGTTCCTATTTGGTTCCTATTTGTTGAAGTATTGAAAAAAAAAAAGCTGGCAAGGATTTCAAGTGAATGTTTGTACTAAATTAATAAACAATATAAGCAAATACTGTACTTTGAATAGTATAAGTATCAATATTTCAGCTTATAGATAATTGCCGTCGATCCAAAAGAGGGTTTAATGCTTCGTTTTCTTGACTCCGGCGGAACAATTGAAGCCGTCAACATCACTGATGTGTATCAAATCGCTTCAAAGTTAGTTGGACAAGAACCAGTTTGAGATAAAGTACAGCTTGGTATGAGCTAAAGTTTACCATTTTTTTTTTTAAAAAATTTTTTTTTTTTAATTTTTTAAATTTTTTATTTTTTTTTTTTAAATTTTAAAATAAAATTTTTTTAAAATTTTTTTTTTTAAAAAATATAAAAATTTAAATAAAAAAAAAAAAATTTTTTTTAATATTATAAAAATATATTTTTTTTTTTTTTTTTTTTTTTTTTTTTTTTTTTTTTTTTTTTTTTTTTTTTTTTTTTTTTTTTAATTTTAAAATTAATTTATAAAAATTTTTAATAATATTTTTTTTTTTTTTTTTTTTTTTTTTTTTTTTTTTTTTTTTTTTTTTTTTTTTTTTTTTTTTTTTTTTTTTTTTTTAAATTTTTAAATAAAAAATATTTAAATTAAAAAGAAAAAATTAAAATAAAAAGAAAATTATTAAATTTAAAGGGAATAATTTTTAAAAAAAAATGAAAAAAATAAAAAGAAAATAAAAATAAAAAAAAGAGATTTTTATTTTTTTATTTTTTTTTTTTTTATAAAATTTTATTTTTTATAATTTTAAATTTTATTTTTTTTTTTTTTTTTTTTTTAATTTTTTTATATTTAAAAAATTTTTTATATTTTATAAAATTAATATTTTTTTTTTTATTAAATAAAAAAAAAATAAAATATTTAAAAAAAAAATTTTTTTTTTTTTTTTTTTTTTTTTTTTTTTTTTTTAAATTTTAATTTTTTTTTTTTTATTTATTTTATTATTATTATTTTTTTTTTTTTTTTTTAAAAAAAAAAAATATTTTTTTTTTTTTTATAAAAAAAAAAATTTTTTTTTTTTTTTTAAATAAATTTTTATTAAATAAAAAAAAAAAAAAAAAAAAAAAAAAAAAAAAAAAAAAAAAAAAAAAAATATAGTTTAAAAGATATAATATTGCCAAGAATACAAAATAGATTTATCTATATTCTATCAAAAAGCGTTCAGACATTGCACGATTGCAGCAATGGCGCTGCAATTGTGTTGGCAAGGAGTTCGAGACGAGGATATGATGTTTTGGGTAAAATCGGTAAGGCTCAAATGTTACTGGAATGTTACTAGGACAGTTTTAAGACTAGCCTTACATCTTTGCAAAGCATTTATTATATAAAAGAACAGCGTCTGTCCGTTCGTCCGTCTGTACGTTAGTTCTCGGCTTCTCGTGAGCCGATTTACATGATTTTTTTGTTTGTTAGGCTTAGAATTCTCTGTAGTTGTTCATCTCATACTTCGTTTTTTAAAAAGCAAAAGCTATGACACAGCCGAGAGTCGAACCCGGATCGCGTAGGCCGTAGACAAGCGCGCTCTCGACTGCGCCACGGCGACCCAATCTAAACCTAAAGCATCCAGCCAGAAGAACCCCGCGGTTAGACGGGTTTTTTGACTGTTTTTCTATAAAGTGTTTATAAAGTATGCATCAAAAGCTACTTTAACAAGCTACCGTAAAATCGGATAATACAATTTTAAGGACTTTCACCCTTTCACGTTGAAAGCCTTTCGACAAAAGTTTTTCACGGATGGACCGGTTCAACTCACACTTCTTGAGAGTAACTTGAGAGTACTTTCAAAGCTACAGATTTCTAAACCTAGATCACGATCGTAAAAAGTGTCGATATGGAAAAGAGCGGCCGATTGTGTATGAAATGTGGAATGTTTGCTTTTGCACGAATATTGAGGTGAGTAGGAGATAATGGACAATGGATTCAAATTAAAAAATTACAATACTTAGAAAGGTTTAAGGATCAAAATCCATCAGTTCCTATAATTTCCTTACAATGTAAGCTTTGAACAGATGCAAAACTGACTTTTGATCTTTCTAGTGGCAAGTAGCTTCATTGAAAGTTTAATTTAAAGTTGTTATTGAAAATCATACAAAAACAATCTTTCAGTTGAGTCCAACGCTTACGAAAGAACCAAATCTCTTCAAAGTGCTCAATTTTGATGGACAAATCGTTGAAAGTCGTCTTGTAAACGACCCAGACGCTCCTTGAAGAATGATTACCGATCTCGATATATCCAATGATTTCAGTGAATTTAATATTGTTGAATGTGATATAGATTAAGTAGTTTTTCAATTTATTGATGGCAAAATAAACCCATTTACTCACTTTGCACCAGACTGAGTTTGCAGATAAGTTTAGCCACAGTTCTATCCAATGATCCAATGAACTGTAGCTGCAAAGTGTATGAAATTTTCAGAGCGATTCAAAAACTGGTTTTCAAGAAATGCAAAATTTACGAATTTTCACAAAACTTGCATTTTAAGCGAAACTACTAAGTGTATCTTTTTGGAAATTTGGCTATAAGCCTAATTTTTGGTTCTCTAAAACTTTTCTATTGACACCAAAATGGGTTTCTTTTGAAGAAAGTGCTCAAACTGTGACAGCTCCAGTCCTCCATTTTTGAGTCTCACACTTGTCTCACACACAAACCAAAATCCTACTACGAAAGAGGAATCCGCAAATTGCCTGTAAAATGAGCAGAAGTCGCCAATAATAATGGAAATTATTTGGAATGAATTTATGGTGTTATGTTGAATAAATCTTAGTGTAGAGAATCAAAAATTAGGCTTATAGCCAAATTTCCAAAAAGATACACTTAGTAGTTTCGCTTAAAATGCAAGTTTTGTGAAAATTCGTAAATTTCGCATTACTTGAAAACCAGTTTTTGAATCGTTCTAAAAATTTGGATATAAACTTCATTTTTGATTCTCTACAACTTTTCCATTGACACCAAAATGGGTTTCTTTTGAAGAAAGTGTGAGAACTGTCACATATGACAATAGCCCGCAGTTTTCAATTCACCAACCCAATAGAACGAAGTGGCCAAGAAGTACCTCTCACTTGATCTTCTTGACTTTATAATTCTTTTTTTTTGTTTCATCTTTGTTTTGTTCTGTTTTGTTCTGTTGCGTTTTGTTATTGTTGTTTCTTGTTATTCGATGTTGTCAAAATAGAACTTAAAATTAAAGAGTTATAAAAGTATTACTTATCGATTCAGCATAGTCAAAAACCCTTGTGTGCAAGTTTTCATGGAAAAGTATTGATTTTAAATCAAGTTCCACTGCCTCCAACTACTCTAGCCCCTACAAAGCTGAGATTTCAATTAAAATTGACTGTTTTTGAACGAATTCAAGGAAAAAGACCATATTTGAGTAGTGAAAACAATTCACCAAATTCTCGCCGACTTTCCACACTAAATGATCAACTTGTGAAACTACAATTCGCTTCAAAAGTTTTTCATGATAATAATAGCATTATTTCAGCTCTTGCTTGGCCTCTAATTCATTATAAAAATGAAAACATTTATCATTGAAAATCATGAATTAAAGAAGTACAATAATAAAACAATAAAAAAGAATCAAATAAATCAAATTTTTTGGTTTTGATTAAAGCTAAAACAATTCAAAAGTGCTTTAGAAATTAGGTAACATTTAGAAATAAGCAAGATACTTCGTTTTTCAATCCTTTTAATGTATCACCAAAGCCACGGTATTCGCGTCAGAGACGACAATGACTGGCTCTAAACAAAAAATATTGCAGAAATTTCAATCACCAACTTGTCATATTTTTTCGTGAATGCTTTACGCAGAGAAAATAGAATGATCGAAACCAACTGCTGACAATTTTTCGATAGGAATGAGTTGGGAAAATGATGATTAAAGAGTTGAGTGCAGAATGGAGATACATGAAGAGACACGGGGCAGCAACAACTCAAGTTTTTAGATTAAAAGATTCAAATGGAATCTTCTAGCGTTGATTTACTTTAAGTCAAACGGTACTATGTTTTAGCTTATCGTAACTGTTTGCAATTTGTTTCTTTTTTCGTTACTTTACTTTACTTTGTTACTTAATTTGTTGCTTTATGTCTATTGACAAAGTTTCTGTAAGAGATGATCTAAAAAAAGTAACAATTACGCTTTACAAAGTAGTCAGATTACTTCACAAGTATAGCCTTCTTGTGAAGTAAACTGACTACTTTTAGCAAATGTACAGTGTTCAATATTATTAGGTTGTTCGGATATAAACGAGCGTTTGCACTGCTTGACTCGTGAGGAAGCCATTTCCCGCATCAGTGCCTCTCAGACAACCTCTTCAATTTTATAGCCTCTTTTTGTAACCAGTTGCTCAGTCCAAGCGGTATGAGCAGGCGATGGAAGACGGTCAGTAATTTTGTTCAAAAATTTGGTCAAAAATAAGAATAAATAATGCTATAGCGTAATTATGACTTTTTCTGGCTTGTAACTGTTTGCTTGTTGTAACTGTCGTAACTGTTTTCAACTTACTAATCTTTGGAAAGACATCGATACCCGCAATTGCTAAGCACAACATGAAAAATGGTAGTAAAACGCAAAGAAGTATGTCGATAGACTAGAAATTTGTCATTCATCTTGCAAATTGCTTGTACTTTGAGTTCAAAAAGGAGTGACACACCATTTCTGGAGCATTAATTTTTCGTTATTTTGGATCAGTGGCATAGTGATGCCTCTTTCAGCTACCTGAAACAAAAAGATGACTAAGAAATATCGCTGCATTTCAATCGCCTCCTTGCTCACATGTAATTGACTTTCAAGGTTTTTTGTTCGGAATAATATCAGAAAGGATAAAATTGCGTAAGTGATAGATGCGTCCAAAAATACGATAACGGCAAAAATTGATGCATACGTGGTGATGGAACCCTTGCGGAACACCATAACCACGACTTCACTTTGGAGAGCTGGCAAGACGTCGTCGTCAAAGTAGAACTTAAAGGCTTACAATTGATACAAGACTTTTGAAGTCTTCTGAAATCCTAAAGCTATAGAATAGAAAAAAGTTTGATTAACTTGAACACGCCATGCTTATTGACAATACCCGCTACTAGACTTGCAACGAAAGCATCGGTTCTGCAATCGAGGTTTTTTTTTTGGCAATCGAGGTTTTTTTGTTTTTTCTCAGCCCCAACACTTCTATTTTAACTATTTTGGCTATCATTCGATGCAGAATAAAATTGCGCATCGAATGATACCAAAATTAACTCAAAATATAATATCCATGCAAAGTTATGAGGCAAAAGGCCCCGCCCATACTGGATGGGGTTTTTAGCCAACAACTTTGCATGGATATTATACTTTGAGTTAATTTTGGTATCATTGAATGCGCAATTTTATTCCGAATCGAATAATAGGCAAAATAGTTAAAATCGAAAGGTTGGGGCTGGGAAAACCTCAAATTGCCAACGGCAAAAGGTTAAGTCCCGGCCATAATTGGCGGGGTTTAGTTTTTAGCCAACAACTTTGTGTGGATATTATATTTTGAGCTATTTCTGGTATCATTCGACGCACAATTTTATTCTGCATCGAACGATATTCAAAATAGTTAAAATCGAAGGGTTGGTGCTGAGAAAAACACAAAAAATCTTAAATTGCCAACGGCAAAAAGGACCGACAGTTTTTTTCGTTACCAGTTTACTCGCTACCATAGAGTAACCCAATCTTTTTCAAATTTACAAATTTCATCAAATTTTTTGTCAGTCAGATCTTGAAGGGTTTAAGAAATAATCAGATTAGTCGATCAAGTCTAGAATGTTTTTCCTCTTCACCTGACAATCCACAAAACTGCCCATGCAAAGCTCTTGGGAATTCAAAGCCAATGAAATGACCAAAAAGAAAACAATTGTTGAAAGAAAAGTGATGAAATAAGCTTTACGACGAAAGAATTTCGCCCAACTCGTCCAATCAAGGAAGATCAATTGCACTAGAGTTGATTGATCAAAAGAAGAGCAAAGATGCAAAGATGCAAACCTTTGTAAATTGCTGAGAACTGCAAGGTAGTCACCATATTGCCAAGAACAAAAATGTAGATTGTCTAAAATGTTTCAACTTTAAAAATCTCTTCATTTTCTTACAAATCCGATAAGTTGCCAAGGTTGGGGAAAATAAATTGGCGAAATCCCATAAAAAGCTCCATATGGTACAATGAAAAGCGGTTGCATAAAGCTGCATAAAAGATCGCAAATTTGAGAAGCAAGCTTAAAATTTGTTAATTAACTTAATTAACAAAAAGGTGTACTGTCAATTAAACAAGGGTTTTAAACTTACACAAATATTGATCATGTAAAAACGATGAGTTTTCGTTGCTTGGGATTCTTTGAAGAGTAGAAAGTAGAGCGTCAACAAGCATAGGGGTAATGTAACAAAGCTAGAAGGGATTTGTTTCAAATAAAACAATTCAAAAGTGTTGTTGAGGATTTCTGATTAAGACTGGCTGACTGACTGACTGACTGACTGACTGACTGACTGACTGACTGACTGACTGACTGACTGACTGACTGATTGATTGACTAACTGACTGACTGGCTGACTGACTGATTGACTGACTGACTGACTGACTGACTGACTGACTGACTGACTGACTGACTGACTGACTGACTGACTGACTGACTGACCGACCGACCGACTGAATAGATCAAGACTTGTAAGTCTTACAGCTGGAAGGAGCTCAAATTTCAGACTCCTGGAAATCCTGATCTAGCAATCTAGCTCCAGAAAACTTCAAACTACCATAACAAATCAAGGTTTAAAAGCCCTTGAATCAATTGAGGCATTGATGCAAACATTTACTATACCGGTACTTCTTTGACTAAACCCAAAAGCCTGTAAGCCGGACCAAAACATGACTTCTAACCTTTTCTAAGAGCTGGTTAATGCTAAAAATATGTGTTATGGCTTAGGACCAGGTTAGAAGCCAGGTCCTGGTCAATTTTAGATACTTTGAGCCCTTGGTTACAACAAAGTCAAGCTAGACTAGCCAAGATTGCTTCTGGAAACTCTAGAACAATAACAACTACCGTAAAAGCTCTAATAGAAGAGGAGCGTCACGGATATCTATAGGAGCGTCACGTAGTCTAAGTTTAGTTTTAAACAAAAGCTCATATCTCGACACCAGTACATTTGTTTCTGCGCGCTTAGGTATTAAATTAAAGTAGAAAGATAGGAGAGATTTTTCTG